CACATTGAATTTGAATTTGAGTTAGGACTGTGTCTCGATAGCTTAGTTGATGAAAGCGTCTTGCTAGTTACCAGTTGTGATAGTACCTAGGTTGGATTCCAACTCCAGACTGATTTTCTTTTTGTGTTTATTTCGTTTCGAGTGATGAATAATAGCCATTCTGTCATTCAAAAAATGAATAAAACAAAGTCCTGCCAAATAAGTACAGTAATCGCCATAAGTGGGCGCGACCGAAAAAACGAGGAAGACAAAGGAGTTATTTTATTATATTTTACTTATGAAATATACATTATATGTGCATCATCCTGATAATTGATATAGTCGCTTTTTCTTTCTGTTAACAATGCTACTCTATTTTCCATAGAATCGACTAATTTTTCATTAGATTCATTGGCTAAGTTTCTTCATTCTTTTTTTTCATTTTTTCAATAAAATGATTGATCGACACATTCGGTTCTTTGTTTATTCTTAGCTTCATCAATGCGCGATATCTTCCATTGGGTTATAGTCTGTGAGTTTTATATTCCACTTAAATCTTTTTTTAAAATATCATCACTTGTTAGAAATGATTTCGAGATCGGTTTCATTGAATGTACACTTGCAGTTTTTAAATCTTCTTTTTAGCATTGTTTTACTAATTTTTATACCTCTTTTTGATAACTTAAATACAATTCAACCGACAGATTCGATTAAATGTTGAGCTATCCTCAACGGAGTCGTTACATCTTTTCTTTCCGGTATATATCGAATTTTATGCAACTTATGCGCCAGCAGCTATTTCGTACCTTTTAAGCTCACAATTTACAATCGACTCACTGATGCGTATAAATATTGTAAAATACTAGTATTTGACACGTATGGGACACAGCGCTGCCTTTATAGAAAAATTATTTATCATCTTTTCTTTAAAAAAAACAAATAAAAACGCAAGGGGGAAACAGCGGACTTCAAGACTTCAAGACTTCAAAAGACTTCAAAAGACTTCAACAGACTTCAACTGCAGTGACTTCATATTTTCACAAGACTTCAAAAGAGTTCTAAAGAGTTCTGAAGACTTCATAGGACTCCAAATGACTTCACAAGACTTTATAAGACTTCGTATGACTTCATGAGACTTCATGAGACTTCATGGGACTTCAAAAGACTTCGTTAGACTTCACAGACTTCGTGAGACTTCACGGACTTCATGAGACTTCACGGATTTCATGAGACTTCAGAGACTTTGTAGGACTTCTTGAGACTTTATAAGACTTCATAAGACTTCATAAGACTTCACAAGACTTCATAAAACTTCACAAGACTTCAAGAGACTTCAAGAGACTTCAAGAGACTTCAAGAGACTTCATGAGACTTCATGAGACTTCATGAGACTTCATGAGACTTCATTAGAATTCAAGAGACTTCAAGAGACTTCATGAGACTTTATGAGACTTCATTAGACTTCATGAGACTTCACAAGACTTCACAGGACTTCAAGAGGCAGATTCCATGCGTATCAAAAAACCTTATAGAAATTACATGAAACTTCTATAACATGCAAAAAACAAAACTTATCATATAGAGATTACAAAAGTGTTTCTTGTTTCTGAGAATTGTTTCTCGCAGTATATCCATATCTAGAATAAAGATGTGACAATGACACAAAGCGTTGATGAAATTAAAACAGAGAAAATAAACTTTACTGGTATGCGTATGTTTGATTCGATTGATCCAGCATTGAAAAACTCCTATTTTCAGGTGCAAATAAAAAACAAGACTAAATTTATACACAAGCAAACGACTTGTTGGTTATTGACCGACGAAGCTAGCCGTTTATCGGCTGATAGATTATCACTCGTGATAGAAATAAACAAAAAGGAATAAAATTCTTCATAAGATTAACATCGAATAAATGAAACATTTCTTATAAAAATAAACCACTTCATTCAAAAAGCATTCAGTTCTTAACTATCATGTTTTCTAAGATCCAACAAACTTGAATTTTTTTCCAGTACCTTGACAAACAAACAATAAAAACTTCACCTTTCTGCTAAAATAAGACCGTCGAAAACAAGACAATTTCATTGCTTTTTTATGAATTTTCATGCACTAAATGTATTTCAAAACTTCCATAAGAATTCATGAGACTTCATTAGACTTCAAGAGACTTCAAGAGACTTCAAGAGACTTCAAGAGACTTC